AACATTAAAACTAAGTTCGCACTTTCCCCCCACTAACACATACATTTGAGTTGCACTTTTAGAACATGATTTGAGCGTTTTCATTAAAAAAAGTTATGAAACTTCGCAATTTTACAAAGTAACATCACGCATTAGGTCTTAACAAGACTGTTTGTATATCAGAGCAAGGTCTTGAATGTTCTGACTGCACTTTAAGGTTAATAAAAAGTGTTTTTTTCTTTTTTCTTCATTTTATCCCCCCACACATTATATAAAATAAAAAAGTTGTGTTTAGCCTCTCGTATTGTAGCTAAAAACAGATAGTTCAGTCGCAGACACTTCAGCCAGTTTTTAAGAGGAATTCTAGATTCAAAAAAAACCAAATTGAAATTTATTTTCGGTAGAATTCGGCGGTGGGAGCGCTACGCGCAGGTCGCCATTTCGCGGCGGTTACCGGCCATAAACTTTAAGCTCTTTTCCACTTTCCCTCCCATCTTTCAAAAAATCAATTTCTATGTTTTTTAACGTGCAATTCGGCTAAATGCCTGATGTTAAGATGTGAAGTATGAAAAAGAAATCTGTTCACAGTTGCAAACTTTATTGCATTAAGCCAACGTTAAATTTTCAAAATTGAGTTTGAAAAGGGGAAATGGAAAACTGCCAATTTTTTTATAGTGCTACCCTCTGTTGCCAAGTTCGCAAAACGTTGGCGTGACTGAGGTGCTGACCATTATTGGCTGAATTGTCTCTCGCTGAATCGTCTGTATACTTTTGGCTGAAATGACTGATATTTGTATCAGCTGAATTGCCTTAGGCCGAATTGTCTGGAAACTATTGTTTTAATAGGACTTAATTGCTGTATTCAATTCAATTCAATTCAGTTTAGAACGCATTAATTTGCCGCTTACGCGTGTTACAAGAACACAATTAATCCCAATCTATAAGAACTTTAATTAACCCAAATAACCAAATTGGCAAATTCATACACCCTTAATTTTCCTAAAAGACACAAAAAAAACAAGACACAGAAAAATCTTTCAAATGATACAAACTCCTGGAAAAACGCTTAGTTAAGAAGACTAAAACTGACTGAATAAAATCAATCATCCCAAGCATAATTGCGCGTTTCCTTAGAAAATCGGAACATTAACACAAACAACAATTATGAAAAAAAAATTGGAATCTGGGGGGGGGGGAGTGAAAAAGAGCCAACAAACTTTTTAGTCGAAAATTACATTTGAAGCTTTGATTAGCGCTTTTTATCAAAAAAGAGCAAACAATACACAAAAAGCAACCTGAATTTTTAAAAAACTTTGTGCCATTTTTCTATGCAAAACCTGAAATTTGTTTCAAAAGTTTTCAAGGATATTATTTTGCATCTTTTGTTATTCAGAATAAAAATAAGCGGGTCTCAGCTCTTATTCTGATCGTTTCTGAGTCCGATATTTTTGACACATGCATGGGCGGACCTAGGTGGATTTTTTTGAAAGTTTTGTCAATTTTTATTGTTTCCGAGCGCTCCCAAAACACTATGAAATCCGTATTTAGACAAAAAAATTTCGTCGCAGGTAAATTTAAAAAAAAAAACAGGTTAAAAAAACAATTTTTAGGCACTTTTTAAAAATTTCTGATAAAAAAAACGTCATTTTGGCGCGTGCTCCCCCTCAAAATTAGAATCATTAGGCTGCGAACGAGCTTTTAGAAAAATTTTAGGTTCGGTCGGGGGTCTTAAATAGTACCAAAGGGGGGCCCTTTGGGTCGGCAGGGGGTCGAAACCCTGAGGATGAGGGTGTAAGCCCCCTGCACCAATTAAACCACCCCTGGCCGCATGCACTGGTTGTCAATAAACCTAAAAACAACAAATGACAAATTTATCAAATTTGTATTTTTCATGATCTCATTTTTTTAAAATAAAAAATCAATGTTTCCTTTGTTACAGCGTTTTACATGAGCTCTTTTAATTTAGATCTTTTTAACATTTTACAAATAGCCCAGAATGGTCCTACTCCTATTACCATTACTATAAAATTCAATGAATATTTAAAAAATTTATTAAATATATTCAATCCAGTTGTGATTAACTATTACATTATAACTACAAAAGCGAAACGTGAAAAATTAGATAAAAAAATTCAAAATAAAATACACATTTCTTCATTTTTACGTTCAGAAAACTTCTAACAGACGGTCAAAAAGTCAGAACTATGGCCTTCCCGAAGACGATAAATTGCTACGTAAGAAAAAGGCTAAGCCTTTAGGGCAGGGAAGCTTCCCAAACCCCCTTTTCCTCATTAAAACAAAAACCTCTGATTTGTCACGGCAGTTTTCGAGAAAGTTTCAAAAAATGGTAAAAAAATCGAATTTTTGAAGTTTCCGAGGGCAATAACTTTCTGCATTAAGCTACCGGGCTGTAACGTCGTGTGAAATTGTTTCCACAGCCAATTTTATCCATTGAACCCAAAACTTTAGTTTTTGAGATCAAGAAACAATTTCGAAAATTTTGGTCAAATTTTCCGCCTACAGATATTTTCGAAGGCTGCAGAAAGACAGGAAGAAAGCCATGGTAAGAAGAGAAAGAGACAAGAAAGTTGCATAAACACAGGAGAGTGAGCGATTTTTTCGTTTGTACTCATTTTTTTAAAAAATATATATTTTGTTCATTAGTTTTTGAGAAAAAATTAATACTGTTGAGAACAGTGAAAAACTATCCGAAGCATTTCAAAAAAAACCGAACACTTTATAGTTCCATGTAACCTAACTCAATCAAAGAAGAGATAAGCGTTCACATTTAAGGAGAATTTTTAAAAAGAAAACACGGTCCAATTATTTTAAAGTTCACTTCACTCATTCACACTCGAAAAAAAGTTTCGGAAACCCAAAGATCAAGCTCCAATTTCCCCACCAATTTTATTCAAAACACTCATTTGGGTTAGATAACTTTCCTTTCATTTTGCGAAATAACATAAGAGTTCAACCAAAATTTGAAAATTAACACAGGCAAAGCGGAGGTTTGCAACACTTGCGATGCAACTTAGATTTTATTACAAGCTGAAAAAATTACTTGAAAAAACAAAAACGATCTGGAAAAATTTAATACTTTCATCTCGGATGATGTTCATGAACAAGCTTAACAAACAATGAGAATTAATGACCGAGCGGCAACTAAGGCAAAAAAAGTGGGGACTACCATAAACTGTAAAAGTTGCCAAAAAAACTAGCACAATTTCAAAATTTGTACACTTTTAAGGCAATTTATTTTTCATTTCAAGTTTAGGGCGACAAAAATTCTGCATTAAGAATTCGCAATCTTTTCTTTTGATTAAACCCGACGGGAAGGTTTTGAGAAAAATTTTTTGATTAAATTAGCGGGGAGGTTTTGAGAAAAAAAACTCCAAAAAAAACGGTCAAACCAAAACGCGTATCAACTGAAACTTTCGAAGGTGGTACAACGCGCCCGATGAAAAATAAAGAGAAAACCTAATTTTCTAGGCACACAAGCCAGTCTTTTTATTGGTAACATTATTTCTGAAAATCGGTAGATAAAATTTTGAGCAAAATTTAGGCTTTTGCGGAAAATGCAAAAATTGGACAAAAAAACTAAATAAGCAAATCCTTAACATTTTCAAATATTCTGTTTTTTTTTAACAAACAGTAATTAGCTGAAAATAAGCCAGATACGAAAGATACCGAAAACAGTCGAAGTTGAAGTTAGGATACAAACTATTTGAGAAATGAGTTTGCGAAAAACTAGACCTTGTAATTGAAAATTCAAAATCAACACAAAAACGAGGCGGAACTTTGAGTACCTTGCGATGCCAGCAAAACATAACAGACCAAATGAACCAGCCGACAAAAAAACTGAGACAAAATTCGCTACAATGCATTTAATTTCACAAGAAAATTGTTCCAGGATTTGCCTTGAATAGATGTCAATGTAAGACAATACTCGTGCTTATCGCAAGGGGTAACACAGATCTGGTATAACAATTTAAAGTTAAAACAGAATCTGAACAAAACTTACCAGGCGGTAACAAAGCCGACAATACTATAGAGCTGAAAAAATTGTTTTCAGTCTAAGAATATTCAGAACTCAAATCTCATTCTGATACAAATGCATAAAAAATATTTTTTCGTCCTTTAAATATTGCAATATGGGACCACTAAGTCGATACAACATTAAGCGAAACCCTTTAGGCCGAATAAATAGACAACCAACTTTAAAAATAAATTTCGAATAGATCGGGTAGTTAAAATGCAGACTCATATGTTTAACAATCCGATACACAAAAGTATTTTTTTTTGGTCGGAAAAAAACAATTTTTTATTTTTTTGCTGGCCAAAAAGTATAAAAGTACAAAAATCTACCATCTACAATTTTGTTTTATAAACCAACAATTTGGCACGTTTTCCAACTGTATTTGCTGACAATCACGAGGTTTTCCTTCAAAATACAGAAAACTGATTCAACTTTTATGATTTTATCATCACAGGAACGAATACGGTAGAATTTTTTTATCACAAACTCCAGTTTGTAAGTTTTTAACAATTGCTATTATAAAGCAATTTGACGCAAAATTATATGTTTTTGCTCAGTTTTTTTTCAACTTAATTACGAGCGAAAAGTACAAATTATTTACTTTTTTCCGCTCCGTTGATAACGCTTGGTAATCGCAACGGTAAATAAAAAATTTGTGTCTTTTATAAGCAAGGGGAGAGCATTTTTTTAGATCTGCATACATTTTGACATCGGAGAGCGCAGTTTGAATTGAACTCCAAAAAAACAGTCAACGAAAAAATGCTCGTGAACAAATTCTTAGACTTACCGACAACCCCGCTCAATACGTTCTATCACCCTTAAGCTATTTTTTCATATTTTAGAACCAATTTTGCTCATTTTGGGCAAATATAAGAGATTGAACACAATTCTGTTCACTTGAGTAGCACACTGTATGATTTTCGTTTTGCTATAAATAAACGTCAGCTCTTCATAACCCTTTCGGAAAAACTTGTTTATGGTTGCTTTCAATTAACAAAGTCTAAAATATGTTCATTTATTACATCAATGACATTTAAATAGAGATAATATGATACCACAATCATATACAGTCACTTTCATAGCTCAAACTGAACGTCTAATTTGTTTTTTAGTGATTGCATTTATTCAGTTTATACGACCACCTTTGCCAGCTGCCACAAGGGAAGCAGAGTCATTGAGGATCCCGGGACTCGACTGGGAGTGTTTGCTCCTGGTTCCCATGGTTGAAGAATCCCATCTGGTCCATCTTGATTTACTAGCTTCAAAATCTGGCCCTTCTTTTCTCCGTGTAAGACTTTGACCTACAGCGGGGTTACAGTTATTTTGGAAGATAATTTAACCGTACTTTCATCACAGAAACGCTATCATTGAACGGTACAACGGCAGCCGCTTGCAATGCAAGGAGCAGAATATTCCGACAACAACGATTGAAAAAAAACATCACAAATCAGAAAAAAAATTTATTTTTCCAATTTATTGATCAACTTTCTGTCGCTATTTTAGTAAGGGCAATTGAATTCGGTAAAAAAAATGTAAAATTTAGAGGTCGTTATAGCTAAATTACTGTAGTAACAATTTCATTAGAATTGAATTGAGAGCTGACTGACATTCAAAAAATTTGCGGTATTTAGTCTGAAAATCGGAAAATTCAGATTTTTTGGGATCGGAGACAGAACACTAACATAACAAAAACGCTCGTTGTGCAGTTCATTGAGCCGAAAGTAATTAGTTTTCCTCGCCTAGCACAAGTATAAAAATCTTAAGTAATCTGCCAATTTAAAATGTTCGGAATAGTTTTTTGACCTTCTATAAGGCCAATAACAATTGAATTACGTAGACTAATTTTAAAATAATATACCACGCGAAAAGGATAAGAGAAAAGAATTCGGAAACAGAAACTGAATGACCAAGAAGCTCTATCTTTCGCATAAAAAACATACGAAACAATAACTAACAATGTCTCCCTTAGCCGGCTGAGCTGGTTCCAGGTCGGTCATTTTAGACTGAATGATCTTTCCAGTCTCAACGATTTTCAGTTGCACTTCATTTGGTTGCTGAAACAATTTTTAATTCAACTAAACAAACTATCTAACTGAATAGTAGTTCATTAGATTTTATAACCCGTTAACTTCATTTGCAATGTATAATTTATCGGGTTTCAGAGACAACTGTTCTGCGCAAAATTCATCGTATTCCAGAATTGATTAATTACGCACCAATATTTTCTGCACCACTGCTTGTCCTCCCGAGCTGCGGTCCAGCACGTGTATGTTGACAGAGACCCACTCCGAGTGAGGCACTCCATCCAGGTCAGAGCCGGTGCCTGGACCTCCTCCAGGGGTGCGCATTTCAGAAGTCAAAGAGTAGGATGGCGATGCTGGGGAGTTCATGGCCGGACTGTATGCACTTGGTGATGTGGCATAAGGGGAGCCTGGCAAACCGAAAGAGTAAACAGTTTCAGTCTAAATTAACCCTTGGTTCTACGTCTTGTATGTTATTGCAAAAACTGGTTCTCATTTGAAGACTGCAAAAATTGTGAATAGCAAAACTTGTGGCTAACTTTTACCTCTGAATGAGCTCATTCCCGCAGGAGTTGCAGCTCCATGGTGAGATGAAAAGGGAGAGAAGTTGCCTCCTGGTGTTCGTGCTGGATCCAGAGTGCTGGCATGGTGGTTTGAGTCGTATCCAGGTGTCATTCCCCCTGCACCCGGAGTCATGGCTCCCGCTGGGGTGCCTGGAATGTGGCCCGTAGGACTGGTTGCGCCTTCGTCAAAGCTATACTCGAACTCATTGAACCTACAATAAACACATTTTTCGTTGATCAAATCAACTATACTCGTGTATTTGCTATCGCACGTCTATGTTCACAGTTCGCATGATTTCGCGACGAACAATTATTCGAATATTAAAATAAAAATTCTAACTAAAAACTGCAGCATATTAATTAATACCTTGCGGGAGTATTGGGATTAGTAGGATCCCAGGCATTCGCCCGACCCGGTGTCATGGAACCATCGTGTGCCGGAGTCATTGATCCATAATGGGGTGTTCTGTTTCCGAACTCATGAGAAGGAGTCATCGATCCATAACTAGGCGTCATGGCACCATAGCTTGGGGTCATACCACCATGCATTGGTGTTCGGGAGCCATGAGTCATATAAGATGGTGTCTTGGCCAAATTATAAGCAGGAGTCGAAACTCGGGCATCCGTTGCACCTCCTTTGGGTTGATTGAGAAGTGCAATTCTGGATTTGTCGACAGAAATAGTTTGACAACTTGTATGCAATTCGACTCTGGCTAATGCATCAGTTGCATCTTTGACTATTCCGACGTAACTTTTGTATGGGCCTCGTGTGATGCGGATAGTTTGTCCTATGAGAGAGGTGTCTCGCTTAAGCATCATTTGGCCATGCATTGTCTGACCAGGAGAGAAAGCTACACCCTTCTTGTGCGCTGAAATATTATCGAACCGAATTATTTATAGTACTTCAAATTTAAACAAGCAAGACAATTTTTATAGGCATTCGAGCTACATATTAATTTCAGATGGCTGGGATTCAGTAGCTCGCGATCGAAATATTGTTCTCGAAATTTGGCATTTACTGACTAGCTGATGCTGGTAGCAAGAGAAAAAAAAACCGAAAAAATTTTAAGTTGTGAAAACCATTTTTTGAACACCCAGAGCTAACTTAGGAAGAGTTCGGCGTACGAACGGAGAACCGCTGTTGTGACCTTGATCAAGCAAAGCATACTTAGTAGCATTTTTTCCAGCTATTCTTCAGGCTAGGAATGTTTCCTGTTTCAAGTAGCAATCACGGTTCATAGCGAGCCTCAAAACCGAGACACGGATGACTTGAGTGACAAAGACGGTATGGATGTCAAACTTCCTCCCAGCGGATGTTCTGCGTTCAGCAAGACCGGAGGTTAAAAAACATCGAGCTTCAAACCAGCAGCCATTCGATTAACAGTCTGGGTAATTTATTAGGCATCTTGATATCGCTCATATCAACTGTGATGATGATGCTGACCTTGACTTGGGTGAGATGGACTGCTCAACTTGGGCGACATATATCCCGGTTGCTCCATCGGCATCGCTCCTTGTCCCACAGGGATCGGAGCATCAGTGCCCGACAGTTTGAGTCTCCTTGGCTTGCACACCATAAATCCCGCATTCTCTGTCAGATCCTTCACGCTGATGAAGGCTGCATTTTTGAACAGGTAGCATATCTTTCCTTTGTAGGGCTAAAAATGCATCAAATGAACGAAAGTCGCTCTACTTTTTTTCACCCAAACGCCCTCCCCACCTCACATAAACTTCAATTGTATGCTGTAACTAGTGGTTTTACTGTAACCAAGGCCGGATATTAGAGAAATTGACTTTGAATTAAGATTATTATACAGCTATTATGATTATGATTCATATCAACGACGAAAAGAATACGTAATAAAAGTAATAAATCGCCGGTGGAAGGAAAAAGAGCAAACGATATTAATCAAATTTCCTGGACTTGTCTTTGTGTCGATGTCAACAAATCTACTGTAGCTTTGACACATTTAGTGCACTACACTTACCTCTCGTCTGCCCTCAGATATCTCCACGATGTTTCCAGCCTTCAGCTGGTTGTCGTCACAGTCCAAAGCATTATTATGTTTGGGATACTTCATCTTCTGGACTGCCTGGTGGGGGAGGTGTTCCACTTTGCCCATGTTGTCCAACACGCGGAAGTGTTCCTTCTCCACCCTCACAATCACGCCCACTTTGCTGGCATCTATCTTGACTAGATCTCCCAGTTGGTGGATGCCTGCCGAGTCCACACCACTCGACATGTCACTGCACAGTTGCATGTCACGCGGAAGAACTTTCATCTAAGTAAGAAGAAACTTCAGTTAAGCTTAAGGTACACGGTTCTATGAGAGTTCATAAACTAAATTAGACTATTACGCTGCATCGTAAGCAAAAGTTTCAAGAAAAAAAAACGTTTCTGATTTTTCTGCAACAACTTGAAAATCAGCTTTTGAGTTTTTTAGACATTGACTCGGTAAAATGATAATCAATGTTTCAACGAATACAGCAAGATTAGCCATTAGCTTTCAAAAACAACTCAAACATACAAGCCTCTTGCAACAAATAGACTACATACCTCGTTTCTGGACAAATCTGACAATACAACAATCCAGTCCTCGTCCACTCTCACAATCAGACCAGTGTCCCCTTCATGTGCCCCGCTGATGACCTTCACGTGATCTCCCTCCTTGAAACACTTGCACAGCTCGCCCAGTGAGAACTCCAGCGCATCCTTCAGATCCTCGTGTTTGGGCATCATGGTCGCTTTTCCATTCTCTATTTTGACGATCTTTCCCTCTAGATTCTTCAAATCTCCCTCGATCACTTGCACGTTGTCTCCCACAGCCAAGTTCTGTTTGATCTCGCCCTTCGAAGAGATAGCTGAAAAAATACAACGATGATCTTGGCAATTGTTTAATCCACAGCACAAAGCATTTTACTATAAATTTTTCCTGAACTCATTAAGTTTTAATCAATGGGCTCATTTTTGAACAAGAAAAAAAGTTGTCAAATGAATAAGTTTTCAAATGAATGTGTTGCGCTAGTAAGTACCATTGACTTCTATGGAGTGTACACTCTCTTCAAACTTCTCCAACTCAGCCACTCCCGGCTCCACTCCGTCTGTGACGATGGCGTTCATGCGGAACTGCTTGTACAGGAAGCCCTTAGTCGAATACCGGTTGCCTTCGAAGATAATAGTATCTCCGTCCCTCGCATACTCTCCCCCTATCTTTCTAAGCAGACAAACAAATCCTCGGCACAGCGACAATCATTATCATGCATTGGAAATAATCACAATCCAACAAGTCATAAGAATTGCTGTAGAAAGTTAATGTTATACGTGAAAAGTAGAAACAGTTCGTATGTCATTTATCATTACCCTATACGTTATTTAACAGGCATTTGACTTCACAGATGTTCAAAAAGTTCCCATCTTATACTGTTGAACTTATACCATAACATTGCCCTGCTTTCGACCATCACCGTATAGCTACGTTGAAGTTTCTGTTTCACCGATGTTTTGCTAATTGAACAATCTTGAAAGTAGGGGCCCTGCTAAATTGCTCTCAACCTTCATAACTCTGAAATATTTTGAGCTTTATTTTCAAGAAAGCTCTCTGCTATTGAAGTTTGTTTTAAAACTAAGCTTTGTTCTATATTTCTGACTTCATTTTTTATTATATTTTCAATCCAAGCTATCAGAACGCACAACTTTGGTTTTAATCATAACTTGCTCCCACCTTTATAGATAAATTTTTGCAATATAGATTAAACCAATGCTATCGAATTCTGAACTTTGGTTTGATGGTTGGAATCATAGCTTGGGACTATTTTTTGTCGTTGCTTTTGAACTTTAACTTCAATCAAGCTAATCGAATATCGGAACTAGTTGTGCTCAGTTCTCATTGTTATTTAAGATCTCTAACGCCAGACGACTTACTTGATCTTCTCTGGATCGAATAGTTTCTGTGGTGGTCTGTTATTATTGTTTAGCTTCCTCTTCCCTGTGTTCGATTCTCGCATGATACCCCTGAACTTAGTGTAGTCTATCCTCGGGATCAGTTTCAGATCCACAGTATTGTTCTGAGGGTCAAATCTCATTACCTTGAAGCGCAAAACAAAATGAAATGATTTTACCGAGACAAAACTACAAAAGCCGGTTTTGCGTTGATCAAGTAGATATTCACATTGATCAATAAGTTTGTCGAAAAGATTGCAATTATATTTTCAAAAACGAAGTTAAAATCTAGCTTGAAGTTTTAAATGAAGAGGATGAACAAAGCATTCATCTCAGTCACCTGTGCCAGGTCTCCTCTGAACACGGTTCTCTTCAGTCTAACCCAGGACCCCTTCTTGATCATCTGGGAGTCCTTGACCACTCTCAAAACATCCACCATCTCGTGGATAGGAACCATCGCCTGCTTCCACTGGCCTGAATCAGATCGCAAAATATGTGAAATAAAATACGAATGTTTTATACTGCCAAATCTTTTTTTACAATATCTTTAACACCAAGTGCTATAATATGCAATTACTTATCTTTGATTTAGCACTATGTACATAGTTTTGAATCAATTTTGAAACCTAAATTCATTCCTTTGTCTGCGCACACATGAATACGGTTCCAAACGCGATTACATTCGCTCTAATGTCATGATTTGAAATCGCACATCAATGAACAAATGAAATACAAATTCGGCTAAAAATGATGATTCGGAATTCGATAATTGCTAAGATGTTTCTTTTCACTCACCTCGGTCAAGGGCGTTGATGTTGGCAATAGCTTGCTTCACATGTTGCTGCTTATAGGCCTCAACGTAAATATATCCCTTCAAGCCCTCGACTGCAACCACACTTTTGATCTGTAGAGGCTCTGGGGGAGCTGCCCCTTCCTCCCCGTTTTCCGCTTCCCCTCGTTGTGCTTGGGATTCCATCGCCAGGAACTTCCTCATGAGGAGCAGACATGTCTCCTTTTCTCTTCCCATGTTGCACCTCACAAGCCACAAGTTGGGATCCTTGACACCCGGAAGGAGTGCTTGTTGGGACACCTCAGGAAGCACTTCCTCCTCATCTACTTCTGCGCGGACATTGGCATACTTCTCAGAGAAGTATCTACCCAAGTTGGCAGCATCGCCTCTCCTAAGCAAGGGAAAACAGACTTTTGGCCATTGAAAATTTCGAGACTACTGAAGAGAAAATAAATAGTTTTAGACAAACTTTGCAATGATGATACACTTCTCGTACCCAGTACTTGTAGCGGATTTAAAATTTCCATGGTGGATCGCAGGGCAAAAAAATCATTTTTTTAAATCAAAAACTTGCAAAAATGGCCCAAAAGCTGACATTTTAGGAGTGCTTTTGTGATTTTGATAGCGACGCGGCTTGTTTATGGAAAATGTCTTTTGAAACCCAACGAAGTCTTCCTAAATCAAGTCCTAGATCCGATCTTGTTTGCTAAGATAGACAGACTAATGGCAGTATTATTCGCAACGCTGACTGGTTTTTGTAACAAACAACTGAGCTGAAACCGGAAATCAACTGAACTTACTCCACTTCCTCCATGAATGCCCTGGCCTTTCTGGCATGCTCTGTCTGTTTCTCCATCATGGCATTTCTCTCGTCCAGTTCGTGTCTCGCCTTCTCATACCCATCCTCCGCCTCGTCCTCCTCATCTTCATCGTCTGTGTTCACGTCTAAATCACACGACACAAAAGTGCTAATACTGTGAAAAACGTGAAAGTACACGCTACAAATTAATCTCCATTTGAAATAATCTGCAAAATATAACGTCTCCACTTGATCATATTAAGCACAGGCAAAACGGAGCTTTGCACCATTTGAGATACAGCACAAATACATCGTGACAAGCTAGCCGACAGAAAATGAGAAAAAAGCCACTACATCGAATAAGTTAATAACAAAAAATTTAACAAAGAAATCTACCTAATCCTTCATACATTGAGCTGCCTTTAACTCGAATGAAACTTATTTTGAGGAAAATCTTAATACATTTATCAGCAAGAATTACATGGAAACGAAAAATTGTAAGCCGATATAACTTGGGCAGACACCGCGTTCAGCCAAAAAAAATGTCAATATAAACTTTGAGCAATGAAACATTTTGAAACTCAAACAATCTAAACATCCCTCGAAGCACAAAAAATGAAGCAATTAAGACGATTTACGGTAAGCCGAAACCATTGAAGCCGAGTAAAGCTTTTAAGCTAATGAAAAACAGAAATTTTACAAAATCGGAGTTGTTAAATTTAAAACCAAGATAAAACAAAATTCGAATTAATTTTGTATTTTAACTGCAAACATGCTCAAAATAGGTCTGTTCATTAAAGAAATAACAGAATTGAAGAAAAAGCTGAGGAGAAAATTTTGACATGTTTATATGAAAAAAATCGGTTCCTAATTGATTATGCTTGCTCACTATCGCAAGACTAAGATACCAAATTAAACGCAAAGGCGAAACTGTGCTTATCTTCAAGCAAATGAAATTGAATTGAACTCATAAAAGCACATACACCTAAGGGCATTCATATGTACACTTATAAGTATGAATGAACTTCTCTTTTCATTAGATAATTTAAAATGAACTTCTCTTTTCATTAGATAATTTAAAAATTTTCCAGAGAATTTGAGCATATTCGAGAGTCATAGTAAAAAAGGCAAATTGGAAAACATTTTTTGTCGAAAAACGACTGAAAAAACTAAGTAAATCAATAAATCATACCATAGCCAATCGAAGATTGGAAAAGAGTAAAGAACGCCCGTAAACATTAAAAACACTGACTTTGTTGAAAAAATCTTAACTTTGGAATTTGGAAGAAAAAATAGATGCCCTTCAAGCTCTTTGAGTTTCTAGAACAATTTATGACTGGCGCTTTTTTGATAACATTAACCCAAGTTAAGAAAACTAGATCAACAGGCTAAGTTTTTATTCCGCTGGAAATCTTGAAATTAAATTCCACTTTCGAAACTAAAAATCGTTCACGTTTTTTGCGCCATTTTCACGTTCGTATTTGGAGAGTGCTCTTTAGATCAGTATCAGCAGATGAATTTCAATCGAACTCAAAAAGTGCATATATACCTAAGTGCATTTATAAATGCATAAATATGTATGAATGCGCATCTGTAGTTATGCTTATGTTATGATTTTTTCCTGAAAAAAAATTAGCAAGATCTATATCTACGTTCATTACTCTGAAAAGAATTCAAAATTTCTTTTCAAAAACTGATTTAGATGAGCCGGATACAAGAAACAAAATTTGACGTTTCAAAGGCGGTTTTCTCAAATTGGGTTAAGATGAGACAAAAATTGAAAACAAAAAAATTCTTAAAATTTTACAAGTTACCTCAATTATTGACTATTTAAAAAAATGAACTTTTTTTTGCGGTGGAATTTTGGCTGAGAATTGGCTGAGCAAAAAGTCCATGCGACAAATTTCCTTCCTAGCTTCGCTCCTGCGCCAAGAAATATTATCCACCTCAGAAACCAAACAGGCTCATAGTAATCCAACAAATAGTCCCACAAAGCAACACCTGTTAATCTTTAATACAACGAATGAATGAACTGTTTAAGTTAAACTTTAACAATAACTTATTTCACAAACCTGCTTCGTCTAGAATAAATCCAGTCTGGTTTCGTTTCTTTTTCTTCTTCGGGGGTCTTTGGTTCAATGAGTTCCTCTTGTAGTACTCCTCTATATCCTCTTCTTCCTCCTCCCCACTCCTCTCCGCTGTATCCTCTCCCTCCGGCTCATCAGACCCACTCCCACTCAATTCATCACTGGATGCCTCCTCTGCCTCGTCCTCGACTCCCCGGCCTCTCGTGTCTGTCTCTTCCTCGCTGTCAGACATTTTCAGCGCGGATTTTAACAATATCTAATCGAATACGGAAAAACAAGACTAACTTATCTGAAATTGACATACTGTTATATATCTTCACCTATATTCTTCCAAATGAGGAATCAAATTTGATAGTTTACATTCGGAAATGCAAACTTCAGCAATGTCTATCATTTTGATTTTTTCTCATCTGTCAATTCAAGTTGCGTCAATGTAAGCGCAGACAGGTGCCATAACTTTGACTTGGAAAGCTAATTTCTTTTTAGAAAATGAACGCGTTCCTTGATGATTAAGGTTGCCTTAACAGGTAATTCACCAGAATATGATAATCTTATCGGTCAAAAGTCAAACTAAACATTTCTCTTTTACATAATTATTCACTCTTAAAATCTCAACAATAACTGAACTCAAGCTCCGTCCATCATTTGCTATTTAAAACTTCAAATCAATCATGCTTCAACAATAATATCCAGCATTCCATATCATTTATCCATCTAAAACTTAGTTAGGCATGACTACAATTAGGGAAACAAGTCTTCGCTGTCATCATCGTCGTCATCATCATCCAATTCATCTGCTAGTTCCTCCAGGTCTGCCGCCTCACGTTCTCTCCTAGACTTCGCATCCTCTCCCTGGTGCGCGAAAGATTTGGGCGGATATCTGAGAGCGAGAGTGCACTGTTTGTGAATGTCCATCATGAAGGCTATCCTGGCCTGATATTGCATGGTGGGTTCCAGAGTAGAGTACACATCTGGGTTCTCAAGAGACTGCATCCAGCTCTGAATAAAAACGCGGAACCTTTACTTTACTGATATCAAATCAATTTGTTTTTATCAATTCACGAAGAACTTAAGAAAGCTTTGAAAGCAAAAAATGACAATTAATAAAATCAAAGTTTTACCTTTAGCTTCTTTCATGTATATTTACCTGTTCGTAGTCAATTTTGGCCTCTATAACTTTGTCTTTGATTGCCTTAGCAACTGTGTACAAGGCGTCACTCGGGGAGTCCAGACACAGTTTGGATGCTATATCTTCCAGGGAGATGCAGGAATAAGACGCGTTTATCCTCTTGATTCCTGCTTTAATCACATTGTGCCTCAGACGACCAATCAACATGAAGGTCCCATCCTTTATAAACTTCTCTTTGTACTTTCCGCTCACCTAAAATTGGAATACGAACTTGGACTAACGTTCAAAATTCCCTCAATTCTTGAAAAAACACGAGCCTAATATTCACATTTCAAGTTTATATTCATGATTGATAGGAAGGAAAGGATATCAACATGATTCATGTCCCATTTTAACATCAAATTACAGTACCTGTTTGAACTCCTCCAAATTTCCTGTTCTCACTGCACGAGTCAGCATCAAATAAGGTTCCAATGGCTTCTTAAAATGTGGGATCTTGAAAGTTGCGCGCTCGGGGATCTCACCGAGCAGCAGGCTCACCACACATGTCAGTTTTTGCACTTGTTGGCGGAATCCTATGGCAACCTTCTGAGGTGCTTTTCTCAAAGCTTCCATTAAATCTTTTTGAGATGCCGAATAATCCAACTTAACAGCTTTTATTCTGCCAAGATAATACAGGTAACGAGCAACCTCATTATTTGAGGCCTCGGCTGGAAAGGTAGTTTTCTCGACAAAATTCCAGGCAAACTCGTATTGATTTTGTTGAAGATAGATTCTTAACAAAATATTTATGAGAACAGCAGTTGACTCATGGTTGTGATGAATGATGCTCGACCTCAGGTATGAATGGGCATCGTCCCTGATAGCACTAAGATCTCCAGACTCCTCGTGTACTCGGGCGTAGTAGAAGAAACACTTGGCGCTCAGAACATCAGTTGACCTGTTGCTTGTTGCCAAAACTTTTGATATCATTGTTTTAGCTGCGACGCTTGCTAAAACAGGAGCATCATTAACAAAGAAAATTGCATAGTTTTTGACTGTCAAAAAAGAAAGGCAGCTTAGTAATTTGCAAACCTTGTGGTAGGTTTTTGGCGTCCAAGTTGTAGACAGTTATTAGCAGACTCAGATACGCTTGGATCTCTATCATTACTGCTGATGAGAACTTCATATCTCGTTTTCCGCTAGGAGTAGTGGCAACAGTCACAGCCGACGCTTTGCTTGCTATCAAATTGAGTAACTCGTTCTTGCCTGAAATAAATTTCTCGCTAGTTTTCATCACTAACGATTGGCCTTTGCTTTGAAAGTGTTAAAACTAATTCTTTTGCGTCCATAGACTCAAGCAGCTAGAAAACAAATGCTAAAAAACACAATTAACTGCTTCTAATCAAAAAAAAATCGAACTCTCTTTCGATCTTTCGATGAATGTTCCGACCACTAAAATGTTAGGTAAAAATCAAAAATAGAACCTCAGCTGTTTTAGGTTTATATTCGGTATCATATTAGGTTTATATTCGGTATCATAGAGTTGATCAAAGTTTCGAAGACATAGCCAACAGACAATTGGAAAAGATTCAACAAAAACTTGCGTAAAAAATACTGACTTGTTTTGTGAAAAAATCGCAACTTTTGTAGATCCAAGGAAAAAATAGATGGCCTAAATACTCTCTTGAGTTTCTAAAAAAAATCTAAACTTGAGTGTTATTTCATCTAGAATATAATTAACATTTTTTTTGATAAAATTACCCAATTGTTGAAATCTGAAAATTAAAATCCTCTTTCGAAACTAGCAATCGATCACATTTCTTTGCTGTTCGACAGCTGGATTTGCCTTTCTTTCAAAGAAAATGAACTGAACTTATAAAATAATCAAAAGTGAAACCGCGAAAAGGTAATTCTGAGCCTGAACAAATTATCGCGACCTATATAAGAGTCTGAACTACCAAGAGAGCATATATACCTAAGGGCATTCATATGTGCATTTATAAGTATGAATGCACTTCTTTTGTCATTAGAGCATTTTAAAATTTTCCCAAGAATTTAAGCATATTCGACGTCATAGTAAAAAATAGAAATAGGAAACGTTTTTGTCGAAAAAACAACTGGAATTCACTAAGTTCATGACTCTTTTTGAATTTTCTTGGAATCTGCTTTGTGATATCACGGTTTGCTCCTGCAATTATGGTTGAACAAAACAGCGTTGAACAAAAAAAAATATTTACTACACCCAGTTTTACTTTGTAAAACGTTCAAGAAAATAAAGAGCTCGAACTTACGAATATCCATAGCTCTTTTTTTGAAAAAAAATGAATCAATTGAGCAATCTCCCCACCCCCCCCCCCCCCCCCATTCTCGCTTGGGGGGATGAAGCTCAATAGGTACTTGAGACATGTTTATAACCACTTGAAAATATTTTGAATGATATGAAATCATAAAACAGATTCACCCACGAAAGTGGAACGCCAAATTTTCAATATCAAAGCTCAAAAATTACAATCAGGGTGAAAAAGAATTAATAAACTGAGGCACATAAAGCGACATTTTTCTGTCCTCAAAGGAGGAATATTGTATTGCATACAAAATTAAAGTGCTGCGGAGAACAGTGTTTGATATTCAGATAGAAGGCTTGAGCATCAACCGTGGTAAGTTGCTTTACTCGATGAGCCAATCGTCGCCCAAGCAAAATTTGCAAAAAAAAATCGATTTTTTTTTCTTTTTCAAAATTTTTCTCGATACTCATATAAAATAAACTTCAGTCGGTCAATTGATTGCGTGCTAGGAACATCTACTTGCGTTAGCTGACGTCTTTTTGTAGCGGTTTTACCGTTTTTGCTTGGGGGGAGATAGCTCAATTGGTCATTACAGGGGGAGGGGGGATTGCTCAATTGATTCAAAACATTAAGCAAACCCTGAGAGTCTGATTATACACTATTGAACAAACCTTGACATTACACAAACCTTGAGAGTCTGATTGGCAACAGGTATTTACAGCCTTCTGTAAAACTTCTGTATTCAGTTTGGGCCGCAACGCCATAAGTGATCTCATCACCCTGTTCAAAAACCTAGTTTCTTTCGTTATCATGGTTTTCTCGATTAGTTTCGCATGTTCTCTTATATCTTCAGCGCACAACGAATCCAACGTTTCTTTCGAGTTTACGTCTACTTCCATTTTATCGCCATCTTCATTCGTGGAATCTGTGGTTTTTGAATCAGGCTTCGCGGCTTTCTTTGCATCGGCATTGCCCGCTTTAGGTTTTTGTGGCAAATGACTCTCCACCATAATCAGAACACTAAAAAAACCTTGACAGCTGGAGTAACACCGATTTAATGTAAGAAAAAGAAAATCCATCACGGAATGGGTAGGTCGCAAAATGTTACTGGGCTGCGCTCACATGCGACGTCCTAAGTTGCATAGTGCGCATGCAAGTATTTGGCTATAAAAGATCGTACGACAAAATAAGCTCATGCGAGTTTATTTACTACTTTTTTGGAGAGTTTTTCGAACGGTAATGTGAGTTATGAATTTTCGCAAATTGCATGCTTTTCCGGATTGCTCGGGATTAGAACACAATTTCGCGGTCCATGAGACAAAAAGATTGCCTCAGAGGAATACCCGAAAAACAAACTAGTTCTAGGATAGTCCGGAATGTTCTCTGTTCCCGAATAGCCGAAATCTGAAGAAAAGACATTTAAATTGCGAAATAAAATCAGTTTTAAATGTAAAAGTGTAAGTCAGATAATAATGAATGTGACATTCGACCAGAATGTGCCAAAATGCAATCTCTGCAGAATTCGAATTTTTAGCAGCGAGCCTTCCGGATTAGTGATTTTTAAGGATTAAGAACGTTATTTGAACGATTGAACAAAACGTGAAGGTTGAGGGATTCGGAAATTGCTAATTTTTAAATTTTCGAAGTGATTACGTAACATTTCTGAGAAACGTCAGAAACGGCCATTTTGGCAGAAAAGCTAAAAAGCAACAGAACAACGATAGTCGCACTGACGAAAACAACTAAGATTGTGAGAGAAAAACAATAGAGAAAAGCATAGGAACGTTCCGAATTGCAACTATTGTGTCGCTACAATAGTTGCAAGACCGTTGCAGACAACGGTGAAGGGTGGAAGATAGCCTTCCGTATTACGAAGAAATCAAGATTAACGAGCTTGATTCAGTGGATTCAAGAATCCGGAAGGGTTTCGGAACTGAAACTTTTATCCTTTTATATAAACTTTTAGCTTCTTGTCATGTCCTGAATTGAATTTAATTAACAGCTGGATTCATTTTGATAAGGATGAGAAGCTAGGAGTTGGGGCAAAGGGTTGATCCATCTTCGATGGAGATGATGATTTTTATCTACTGAACAAAAACAATAGTAATATAATAAATAGTAGTAGCCCTGTTTTTAGGAGTGACCTCGTGGTCTGGGGATACTGAGACCCAGCCATGAGCTCACTATTTCTGCATGTAATTAAGTTAATTTGAGTGTTTTGACCGAAGCCGAAAGCAGTAACGTTTTTTGTCGACCCGATGTTAGAAAAGACCACCAAAAGTACTGGCTTGGTAGAGACGGTGAAAAGCATATAAAGCTCTGTTTAGCCGTTAGCCAGTCGTCTTAGGAATTTGTTTTATTTTCCGTCGATATGTATCTTCCGGGCGAATGTTACAGAAAAAGAAATGAAAATAAGTTTACAATACTAAAAAGGTATAACTTAAACATTTTTATAAGAAATTTAAAATGTTAATTCAAACATTTTCGCACATTTTGTGCATCATCAGGATTAAAATTTTTTACAATGTTTACAAAACGATCAAAGAGCTGAAAAATGAGAAACATGTCTAAAAAGGCTCTAAAACTTTTTAACCAATCAAATTTGAACAACTGTAATTACATAATACAATTACATAATCGTGAATAACATTTTCCTGTAAATTTCTGAGATTTTTTAGTTTTTTGTTCTTTCATGGTTATAAAATTTCGATTTGTCAATATTTTTGATTCTGACATTAGTTTTTTAACTTTTAGCCATGTTATACATAGACTTTAATTTTAGTGTTAATTCCCGGCTCCTGACTTCATTGCGTGTATTGATCTTCGGCCTCTCCCTCCAAATATGCAAAGCCTCTAGTGTCAGTAGCTTATGAGTGTTGGCTCTTTGGTCTATAATCTCTGACTTCAGCTCAGCAGTACCGCCTACCTCCTTATTACATTCTAACAAGTGTTGTCCTACTGGGGAGTCCCCTTTGCGGTGTTCATCGACCCTCGTGGCTAAAGGTCGGACTGTCTGGCCGACATAGGTGGAGTTACATCCCTTACATGTAAGCTTATACACCACTTTGGATCTCAGTTCACGAGCAAAGGAAGTTTTGAGGGATGGCAAGCTTGTTTTCAATTTTCTTGTTGTAAAAATTATTTGTGCCCCGGATATTAGCCGAACCTTTGCAGCTGACAGTTGAGATGGATTGCCTCGATATTGCATTGTAAGAAGGGGTGGTGAGTCTTTCAACCATTTATCATTTCTCGGTTCTGATGCCTTCACCTCTAAATTTTTTTTCCCTCAATGATCTTGTTAAGAGTTTCGAACACTACCCTGTCAGACCAATTTTTTGGATATTGATTTTCAATCCATTGCTTCCGATTTTTTTCCAATGCCTAGTCAAAATATTCCCATGTTGAGGTACTTCTGAAAACCCTATGAACCGTCCCTTCAATAACGTTTCTTTTGTACTGCAAAGGTGCGCAGCCTCTGAAATTTAGAATGGTGCCGTTATCAGTAGTGGGTTTTTGATACCAACCACATGTGACCTTTTTTGCTGAATCCATCTTTGCTGACATTTAAGTCTAAAAAGGCCAAATTACCGTTACTATCAATTTCTTCTATGGTTAACTGCAAGTTCGGATGCAACTTATTGGCAGCCTCGAGAACTAGGCAGCGTCAGAAGTATTGATAAGGGGGTGGGTTTTTTTGTAATGACATACCGGGCGAATGTTACATACATGCTTTTATGGCGCTCCTGGGTGTTATTCTTTTTTAACATCATGACCGGCAGAACCGTTAACGAGCACTCCGCCCCGAGCGGATGCTCACATTAACGCCCTTAATAGGCCTAAACCGCCGGGGCGGAAGGGTAGTTCGGAACGCGGAAGCCTTCCGGATTACCGTGAATAGTTTTTTTTAACCTAGTTAAGACCGAAAATTCACGAACCAGGAAGGGTGGGGGGATTCGCGGTCCCGTCATTTCCTGAATGGTCCGTGACCAAAAACACTTAAAGATATATATAAAACCAAACAAAAAGTAGTATAGTACCCAAGAAAAACAAGAAAACATAAAAAATAACCGAAAAAAACCAAAAACAGTAAAAAAGTAAAAAATCAGTAGAAATCATCCCCCCAGACAAGATGTGATCCGACCCCCCCGTTTGTTGTTGATAGATATATTGTTGTTACAGGCATTAATATCAGTCAGGATTGTTACGATCAGTTTTGTATCCCGTTTGTGAGGCTTGTACTGTAGGGTTATTTGAGCATTTAAGCACGTTATTGATAAATTGCGCTCAATCCGGAAGGGTCAGCTGATTTGCGCTCAATTCGGAGGGGTCTTGGGAGAAGACTGATCCGGCAAGCAGTACAAGGAGCAACAAGAAGGGGCTCAACGACAACAACAATCGACTGTTGGGTATCGTTAACAAGTTTTGTATCCCTTTTGGTACAAAAATTAAGATAGCAATCTGTGGGGGGCTCGACAGTGCTGCACTGTAGTGACCCTTCACCGAACTGCGAATATCCGAGTTAAGCACCTTAATTCGGATATTAACCAAACTCGGAGGGGTATAGTATTAATAATATTATTACTTATATAGCCTATATTAATAGTCTTATATCGTTTTTCAGGGAAAAACAACGAAAACAGACCGGTTTTTAGGGTCAAAATTACAATATTTCGATCCCCCCACAAGTCGCGATTTTTGAAATATCGATATTTTTTGAAACGGAAAAAAGCGCTAAAGTAGTGTGTTACATCGTAACTGCACTACCATAATAGATAGAACCGGTTAAGTTTAGTTCGAAAGTGGTTGGAACTATTTTGGTACCGAAAACCGAAATTTCGTGATTTTTGAGAAAACGAAACACTATAAATTCAGAAAATTTTTTGAAATTTTTGAGTTAGAACAGTAAAAATAGTTGTTCGGACAACGTCCACTAGTGAATCTACAAGTTTTAAAACCCGCTACCCGAAAGCCTTCCGGGTTACAGAGAAATCGAACTTAACGTGTTTGATTTGGTGGATTCATCAATCCGGAGGGGTACAGGTAGCATAGTTTTTCGCCAATTTTTTCAACTAAAGCGTTTTAGATCGGGTTTTTTGCATTGAACTAGAAGAGTATAGGCCTTTTGAGCTCGGATCAATAAATTTTAGGTCGAAAGGACCAGATTTGCGGAAAAAGTTAGGCGGAACCTACCTATAATAGAGAAATTTCTTGACTTTAAGAAAAAAGACGTTTTGGCTAATAACTTTTCGACGACTGAACAGATCCAGTTGATCTTGGTACCAATAGATCAGAAATTAGCTGAGCTTACTGATAGGGACAAAAGTTTTGCAAAAAAGTAAGCGTGAAAATTTTTTGAGATTGTTTTTTGCAAATTCCTCAATTTGGAAGGGTACACCCTTCACGTTTTATAATTTTTTTTTTAGAAAAGCCCTTATACCCCTACCAAAAGGTTATATCGGTTGAATAAAGTAACTTTAGGCTGTTGTAGACGAAAAGTGAAGGCTAAAGGCACAGCAAAACCTTAATCGAGCCGAAGTTAGGCAAGCGACAAGACCCTTCACCGTTAGTGTGAATTGTAAAATAAGAGGCTTAACTTCAATCCGGAAGGGTCTAGGAAAGTAGTACATACCCTTCCTAATTAATTGAAAAAGCAAAATTGCATCAGAGAACGTATCCGGAGGGGTATAGGTTGAAAGAAGGAAATCTCCGAAAAGCTACTTTTACGAAACCGGAGGGCTCCCAATCCGGAGGGGTCAAAAGCCTCTAGTGTCAGTAGCTTATGAGTGTTGGCTCTTTGGTCTATAATCTCTGACTTCAGCTCAGCAGTACCGCCTACCTCCTTATTACATTCTAACAAGTGTTGTCCTACTGGGGAGTCCCCTTTGCGGTGTTCATCGACCCTCGTGGCTAAAGGTCGGACTGTCTGGCCGACATAGGTGGAGTTACATCCCTTACATGTAAGCTTATACACCACTTTGGATCTCAGTTCACGAGCAAAGGAAGTTTTGAGGGATGGCAAGCTTGTTTTCAATTTTCTTGTTGTAAAAATTA